CTTGGTTGGCCACAACCCCTTCTGGAGCTGATTCTAGCTGATCCTGGCAAAGCATAAGGAGGAAAACCTGTTTCCACCAATATATTCAGTCTGATGGGAATTTTGCTGCCTTTTCATGCCTGGGTAAAGGCCTTTCATCACATGTCTATTAAGCTTCAAGCTGCCTATACCTGCATATGTCCCCTATACTAGGTCTTTAAATTCTACCTTGAAACCTCTAAAACTTGCCTACACCTTACTAGCCATCCCCACTAGATGCAGTCACTTTGTCTTCACCCACTTCTCACTTAGGGGTTAGGAATACAATTTCAAATTAGACAAATCCCTTTGCCATGTTAAAATCTCAGTGACACCATACCATGCCCCCAACTCCCTCTACAGAACACAAATAACCTCAATTCCCACCTCCCTCCCCTTACCTCTTCACTCAATAAACATTTATTATATAGCAGATTCTGAGAACATAAAGTGATTATAGCAAAATCTATGTCTACAAGGTTTCATAACTTCAAGGAGAAGACAGAAGTGTAGGAATGATTTCAGTATCACGTGCTGTGCTCTCCAATATAGGAATGCAAAAAAGGGAAACAGAAGCACAGAGAGGAAAGTGCAGAAGCTTCATTTACTCTTCTATTTTTCTTTTTTCTTTTTTTTTTTTTTTTGAGACAGAGACTCCCTCTGTCACCCAGGCTGGAGTGCAGTGGTACAATCTCAGCTCACTGCAACCTCCGGCCCCCAGGTTCAAGCAATTCTCCTGCCTCAGCCTCCTGAGTTACTGGGACAACTGGCGCATATCACCAGGCCTGGCTAATTTTTGTATTTTTAGTAGAGACAGGGTTTCACCATGTTGGCCAGGTTGGTTTCAAACTCCTGGCCTCAAGTAATCGACCCACTGCAGCCTCCCGCAGTGCTGGGATCACAGGCATGAGCACCGTACCTGGCCTCTGACTCTTGATTGAGTTTTGCCACTCTCCAGAAAATCTTACTAGCCTCCCCACACATCACTTCACTTATTATCTACCTCATCCTAGCAACCCAGCTAAAGTAAGTCCTGTATTTCAGACTTACTTCTAAACTTTGATCAGGGTTCCCATGGCCGAGTTAGTTCTAGATACGGCCCAACCCATTGCCTTCTTAAGATTCTCCCTTCCCTGAGGTCTCAAACTACCCTGTGGCTATAATATCCAAACTTATGGGACTAGACATGTAGAAATGTATTCTTAAATGGAAATATCTTATTTTCCTTTAAGTTTTTTTTAATACATTTACATTCTTCTCTGTTATGGATGATGATTTTCTTCATCAGTCACTTGGTACTAACCATAACAATAACACGAAATAAAGTTTTCAGCAAGTCAGTAAAGATAATGTCAACACAAAGATTATTCATTTATAACATCCTTCAATGTATAAAAATATACTTAAAATATAAATTTCTTCACTAAGAAATGAAGGGTTATTAACAGCAGCTATTGTTAGATTTTCTAGGCAATCAGTTAGATACTGAGATATTAAAGCAAGAAATAAAGAATAGTAATAATGTCACATTTGCAATGCCAAAACATGACATTCAGGACACTCTAAACCATTTTGAGGATATACTGTAATGTGGCCAGTACATCCCTGAGTCGAAATGTCAGAGGAATAGCCTCCTGCAATCATTCAGATATTTTACATTCTTTCTACAAACTCTACATTCCTATTAAATTCTAGTCACTGTGTTAGGTGCTGGGGATACAAAGATGAAGACCTATGTGAAATCACAAACAAATCATTAGAGTAAAATGTGGTAAGAACAGGGTGATAGGAACACAGAAGGAATACCTGACCCAGACTAAGTTGGAGGGGATTGGGAAGGAATCAGAGAAGGCTTCTTGGAAGAGGTGGTATCTAAGCTGACTCTTAAAGGGTAAACATTAGTTTACAAGTTGACAGAGAAGAGCTTTGCTGACAGGGGGAGTTTCCGTGAGCAGTCCATGGAAATAAGATGCAGAATTTCGCATTTGTGAGTCTGAAAGTAGGTCAACATTGTCAGAGCACAAAGTGTAAGTTGGAGAGTGGCAAGAGACAAATATGGTGCCAAATCATCCTAGAGATGATGAAAAGTCACTGAAGAATTTTTTGAAGGCAGGAAAGACACTTGGTCATCTATGCATTTCAGATAAATTCCTTCATCCATTTAATTTTTATTAAGCACTTACAATGAGACAGGTGCTGGATTAAAAAAAAAAATTGCCCTGCCCTGTTGGAAATTATATGAGACAGATCACTATGAAGGTTAAACAGAAGGTAGATTTGAGCGGGATAAGCCTGGAGCCAGAAGAGTACTCAAGAACCTGCTAGAGCAGTTCAATAAGACATCATGAGAACAGGGGACTGGTAGCAGAGACTTGAAAAATCCATAGAAAGTGAAATTGGCAGCACTCAATAAGTGACTGAATATGGAAATGTAAGAAAAGGAAGAATGCAGAAAGGGAAGCAGGTAAAGCACAGTTTAATTTGAATGTACCTGAAGGAATCTAGATGAATTGAATATACAAACTTGAAACTGAAAAAAAAAAAAAGGTCTGAAGCTAGAGATGTCAATTTGAAGATGAAGATGGATTCAAGTATGTAGGCTGTGAGGAACTGTATGTTAAGCACCGAACCCTAAGGCACACCAACTCATAAGTGATGGATGGAGAGAAAACCCAAAGGAGTCAGGGAAAACACAATTTGAGAAATACGTAAAGAATCACAGAAGAAAAGTGAAGTGAGAACCATTGAAGCAAGAGTGCCAGAGGAAGGTCAATAGTGTCAAACATGGTAGAGAGATCCATTAAAAGGAAGACTGGAAAGTGTCCCCTGGATTTGGCAATCATAAAGCAATTGGTGCCTTCATTCTGAAAACATCCAGGCAGGTGACTGGAGCCAAGGATATTTTACAGTATACTGAAGAGTCTAATAGCTTTTCAATTCTGGATTAAAAGAGAGACAAAAGAACAGACAGTAGCCAAAGAGGGGTCCAAGATGAAGAGAAGCTTGTTTTCCTTGTTTTGTTTACTTTTGTTAAGGATAGGAAAGACTTAAACCTGTTTACAGGTTGATGTGAATGAACAAATAGAAAAGAGAGAATGACCCCAACCATGTTATTACTGTATACCAGAAAATCACTCCCATTTAGTGGTGAGGTTTGTTTATTTATTTGTTCATTTAATAAATGTTTACTGTATGTCTACTATATGCATGGCACTGAGCTTGGCACTAGTTCTGACTTTGCATGTTAATTACGTAAGCTTATGATGACATGCATGAGTGAACTTAGTCTTCCAAGACCAGAGACACATAAGTGATTCAAAGTGAGCCTAGGTAGGTGCACACTGCAATTCACAAGATATCACTGTGATCTTCTAAATGACAGCTTTGTTTGTTTGTTTGTTTGTTTTCTTGAGATGGAGTCTCGCTCTGTCGCCCAGGCTGCAGTGCAGTGGCGCGATTTCGGCTCACTGCAAGCTCCGCCTCCCGGGTTCACGCCATTCTCCTGCCTCAGCCTCCCGAGTAGCTGGGACTACAGGCGCCCACCACCACGCCTGACTGATTTTTTTGTATTTTTTTTAGTAGAGACGGGGTTTCACCGTGTTAGCCAGGATGGGACAGCTTTTCAAATACAGAAAGGTTGCATTGCTATGTATATATTTCAGTTATTGGCTGTTGTGGCATACTTTGGAAATTCTCTTCTTTCCAATTTAGTTCGTGTTAGGGTTCAAAGCCAGGGTTTTTAGATTACAAACTGAAATTATGATTTACTTCAGTGAAGACTTTCTGCAATGGAACACCAAGTCCCCTGCTGCCAAACAAAAAACAACTATGAATTAAGTTATTAACTTGTTACTTTTGCCTAAGGAGCTGAAAGAAATATGTGGATTTCAGGTGTCTAATTTCAAATCTAATTGAAACCTTTTTGTAGCCTCTCAGGGAATAAAATTTGTGGAGTATTGGAAAACTTTCAGTCCCCTTAAAATTGCTCATGTGACTTATTCTAATAGAGGCACTGTTGATGGAGAGATTGTTTTCATTCATAGTACCACATAGGCAAATTAAAGAAAATGAAACTAATGCTTAAATCAATAATGGCAGCATTTAGCTGTAGGCTACCATACAAAGTAATGTGGTAAATAAACTGTCTTTATAGGAGAAAATTTTTAGAGTACCATTATGAATTGAACAAACAGGAGAGCTCCTATTAAAATACCACACAAGTTTCTTCTATGACCTCTTCTACAGTTTTCAGGGGGAGGGGGTGGGTATCACAATTTTTTATCCTCCTAATAACAACTCTATTTGTTCTGTAGAGCAGCTTCAAACTTCCAAAGTTCATCAAAATGGAGTAACTAAGGCAAGATAATTCTATACACATAATTCTATACATAATTATGCATGTGGTAAAATTAGGGAAAAAATCTGAACCAAAAAGATGTTAAATGTTTGAAGTGATGGATATGCTAATTACCCTGATTTGATCATACACATATATATGTACTAAAATATCACACTATCCCCCATAAATATATACAATTATTATATGTTAATTTAAAAATAAAAAAACTAAATTAGGTAAAACATTGAGTTGGTCCAATTCATATCAGAAAGTTGATGGATTCTTAATAGGCGATTAAGAGAAAGTTAGGAAGGACATCCAGAATATATTTTCAGCTTTTCAGATTGAAATCACAGAAAGAAACTATCATCTCTAATCCCAAAATGGCCTTTCAGTAAGCCCTTCAGGACCCATTTGCTATAAACTAATGATTATATTCTTTTACTAGCTCTGGGTGCTTTAAAATAAGATGAATGTTATCAAACCAAAGCAGAGTTGGTACAGTACAGGTTGAGTATCTCTTATCCAAAATGTTTGGGATGAAGTATTTTGGGTTTCAGATTTTAGAATATTTGCAGAACATATACCAGTTGAGCATCCCTAATCCCAAAATCTGAAATCCAAAATGCTCCAATGAGCATTGCCTTTGAGCATCAGGTCAGCACTCAAAAAGTTTCAAATTTTGGAGCATTTCGGATTTTCCCATTTGGAATGTTCAACCTATACTGTGATTCTAGATGGTTGTGAAAAGTTACTCTAAAAAATAGGAATTAGAAATAAAAATTCCCAACCAAGATATTACTTCAGATATTCAAAAAACAGCAAAAGTTATTCATCTGTGCCTTGTATCATTTTGATTCCAACATTTTTAAATGTCCACATTTCTGGTAAGAAATTTATATTCCTCTTAAACACACCATCATATATGGGGTCTCAACTTGAATTATACTGCTATTTGATAGATTCTGTTTTCATTCATAGTACCACATAGGCAAATTAAATAAAATAGAAGTAATGCTTAATCATTCAGTTTTTTTAACCCATTAACTAAAATCACTTTGTAACAATTTCTATAATGGTACTAGATTATATATATTCTCTAATTGTACTGAAATAAAATTGTATTTCTATAAAAGTACTAGGTGCCATGTCTACTGGCTGGTCCAATAACATGTATGGCCACAAGTGAAGTCAACAGCATAAACAAATCTTAAAAAAAAAAAACTTATTCCTTCTAGAAATAGCCTTATAATTTTAGCTTTTTACAACTCAGAGAGAGCAATCTATAATTCAAAAAGCATATTGAAAAGTGACTGTCCCTAACAGTTTAGCCGGTAATCAACTTGGGAGTTTATTATAAGCCTGCATGCATCCTGGATATACTTTCATGATGTCAGTGAACAAAAGTACTTATTAGAAAGTGGTAATTTAAAAGTGAAATGTGTGGATTATTTCTGACTGAATGGCTAATTCTATAACAGAATATCTTCTAGTAACAAGACTAGTACCTCCTGATTAAATAATCCAAAAAGACCCTAAGGATTTTATTAGAAAGCAATAATAAAGAGCCCTTAACAACTTCTTGTGCCTGATCCTGCTTTGTGTTCCAGTAAGGAGGGTGAGAAAGGTCACTACCAGCCCTAGCAACAGCCTCTATTGATGCAAGTTTATTAAGCATATGTAGAAGAGCTGCAAAATGATAGCAAAAGATGACTTTCAAGTTGCACATTTGCGAAAGATATGCCATAGATTCCATTTTCATAGCTAGGTGACATTTCTCAGCCTCCCCTGTGGCTAGTAGGAACATGTGACTAAGTGGTCACCAATGGAATGTGAGCAGAAGAAATTAAGGACCTTGAGTCCTAAGCCTTGGGGAAACATGCTGTCCCCATGCTCCTCTATTCTGCCCTCCAGGTATGATGATGACCTGACCTGGAATACGCAGGTGAGGATGATGTCCTAAAATATAATGGACATTCAGAACGAAGGAACCTGGGTCCCTAATGACCCCCCAAAAAGGAGCCACCTGCTCATTTTAAGGGCTCTATATAGGCTGTTAAATAAGAGAAATAAAGATCTATCTCTTTTCAGCCATTGAATTATTATTGGGATTCTCTGTTACAGAAGCCTGGCCTTACCTTAACTAATTCAAAAGTTTATAGAACCTTATCCATAATAATAAAAACGGCCTGTTCAGACTAAAAAGGGCAAGAAAACTGTCCATCCTTTCTATGTGTAGTCCTTGGGTAGCACAGATCTGTAGCATGGCATACATTGTAAAACAAAAATGGTTTCCACGTAAAAACATAATTGTGCTATGTGTTTAAAAAGAAATGTATGCATTTGAGATAGATGGCTGTGAGAGGGACCAATTAAGCAACTTGAATTTTATATTTTCCCAAATCTTAGACAAATACAAAAGTATACAGCATTTCTTTGAAGGGATGAATTACAAAATCAAGGCAGTGTAGAGAATGACTGAATTCCCTGTAGAGTACCTCTTCCGTCTGTTTGTCCATTCTTTTTACAGCGGGCTTTGGCTTCACCTCACAGGTGGGAGGCTGGGCCACAGAAGGGATACAGGGAGGAATGCTGGTGCTTGCAGCCTGCTCCACTTCTCCTGGAAGTAGCAGCAAATCTGTTGGATACAAAATATTTCAATTGAGCCTTTCGCCAAGTTCACAATTTACCTAGATCATTTAAATGCCCAGAAGTCAAAGAAAATGAAGCAAATATGCTCATGTAAAGTAGGTCCATTTCACAATGCCTGTTCCCCTTTGGGAACTGGACTCAAGGGTTTGCCCTTTCCTCATAATAGAAGCCATTAGTGCATTTACTTTTATTTTATCGTTACAAACTTAAGAGTCCCCCAAAAATGTCTGGAGGAGTACTGTTTTTGGAGTAACCTGACTGTCCCTTTTACTCTCAACTCAATTTCTACTTTTATAGGAAAATAAGGTGGTAAGATGTTACTTTTGCTTCATTTTCCCATATTTTCTTGAAGGGATAAAGAGAAAGAAAATGGAGTGCTGATTTCATCCTGTAACAATATGGCAATATTTCAAAAATATATATTAAAAAACAGTAATGCCAGAAGGAAAATACTTTAACTTTCAGCAGAAAAATGAAATACTCTGTCATATTCAGAATGCATGGTCTAATTTTCAACACTTGCAAAGAACAACAGCAATGTGTTTCCTGCTTGTTAAGCACAATCTCAAGAATTCAATAACCAATCTTGGAGTTCTGATTGACCTATTATAAGCGGATATGTCTCCTGATTTTTGCATGTGTGACAGTACATGGATGTATCACAGACAACTGATGATCTTCCACAGCTTTCTTCAAGGAGGACAAAAAAACAAATAGAAGCACAACAGGTTTCCTCCTCAGTCTGTTTTCATAGGACCAGAAGGGCTTGCTAGAACTAGCCAATAACTTGGAGTCGACTCTGGATGATGCTGCCCACTTCTCAAGGATGATCCTAATTAAGGCACTAATTAAGTTCTCAATGGAAGTGATTAATTAATAACAGGCATGACTTGACTGCTGCAAATGGCAGCATGCATAGGGAGATAATTGAGCAGGTATTGCTGTTCAAAAACTGAAACTTATTTGAAATGAATCCCTCAACACTATAGTTATCCCCTTCACACACAAAAAAATATAATTACAAAATTCTTATGACTCCAGCAACAGAGAAAACAGACAGCCTGGAAATAGAATTGTGGAGGGGAAATGACAAAGAAGGTAATTCTGCTATGGCTAATTATTGAAATTTTAGACTATGATTTCATTAATTAGCAGAAATAAAAACAATAATAATAGCCAACACTTACATACTCATCATTTTGTATGCTTTAGCTCTGCTAATACTCCCAAAGCTCTATTATTTCCTGTTCTACAAGCAATGAGCTCTAAACACTGACAGTAGCCTCACTCAAGATCCCACAGCTAAAAAGGGCAGAACTGGGCAGTCTATCTACAGAGCCCATGCTCTTATCCTACAATGCCACATTACGAACTTCTTTTAAACAAGCATTTTCATTACATATTTTATTTTACTGGATCAAATTAAACACTCAAACTCAGAACCAAGAAATGTCATTACTATAACACATTAGCATGGTTAGGCAACATTAAGTACATTTCCCAAACATTTCATACCCAGAGAAACAACATTTTAAAATTCAATGAGGTTGGTGGGAAGACTGGTTTTCTAATGCACCTATTTATGAGTTCAAAGCCAAATCCTCACTGAGCATCCTCGTGTAATAGCCCAGGACTGGTACAAATCTGGTGAGGGACCCACCAACAAGGAAAGCAACAAGAGAAAGGCTTGGGCCTCTCAACATGAAAACCATTATCTACCTGACCACTGGCTGACAGAGCAAACATCAGTTCAAATGTGAAATCAAAATCAATTCTGCTTTCAGGGCTATTTAAAATCATTGTTCTGGCTGACAGTATTGTGCAGCGAGGAGGATAACTCTGCAGTTTCTTTACTGAAACTTCACTTCTCTAACCTATTTGCCAAGAAAGTAGGATTTTCAACAAAAATGGTTTCTTTCATAATAATTCTACTGCCATGGGAACAATTCTTTCAAAATGACAAGACTCAGTATTCTCCATGTCTTAAATTCTTGTCATTTGTTTCTTCAGAGTAAAAGCGAAATGCACCAATGCATATCTATTAGTGCCTAACACAGCACCTCATACATAGCGAATTCTCAACAAATACTTGGAGATAGAAAATGAATTGTGTACACCTCAACTTTTAAACTGAACAGCAAGTATCAAGAGTCTGCCTGCCAATAAGATGTTGTGGATGATGTAAAATGAGTATAGCCCTTACCCTCAAAAACTAAACATTACAGGAATAAGACTTTCATATATAAAATCAATCAAAGAATAATCAAGAAAAAATTGAATGGCTCTAACTCTAAAGATGACAGATTTATAAAAGGGCAAAAACAATATGAATGAGAAGAGCTTGGCAAGGCATATGTTATAAAGAAAACTACTGCAATCATTTAGCCATTTTACAATCGTGGGTGGGTTATATATATACTCATATTCTCTCAGGAGAAAAAAATACTGTATTCACTCATGGTAGGAAATGAAATTTCTGAAGTTCTCTGTATAACCTTCTAAAACAGAAATGCTTTAAGAGACTTAATCTGATCATATTAGTTGTTTCTAAAACAACCAAAGGCTTTGTTTTCACCTTAATGAAATGCCACCATCTTGGCATTATAGAGTCAGGGACACTCTCAAAAATGAATCTTGAGGTTGGACGGCAAGACTGGTTGAAGTATTTTAATCTCTTCTTTCTCAACCATATGTTTAGAAATTCTACTATTTAAAAAGTAGCTATTCATGCCATTTGTCTCTGTATTTTGTCAATGATCAGAAAGTCAAAGACTATAGCCATGTAATCTAATACAGTGTTACAAAGTGAGCAATCTACTTGACATCTGAAATTTTATATACAATAATATTTAATCTGCCTGGCATATTTATAAAATTAACCAGTGTGTTCATTTGTTACCACATAAAACGGCCAAAATTTCCTGAAAGTTTGGGCATCCTAATACAAAAAGGATATAGATAAAAAATACTTTAGCCATCCAGGCCACTTCTAAATAGAGCTTCCAGCTATGATAGTCTCGTTCAGTAGTTCTTATTCTTAAAAATGATTGAAGATCCCAAAGAGCTTTTGTTTATATGGGTTATGTCTATCAACACTCACCATATTAGAAACTAAAACTGACAAGTGTTCTAATATTTGTATATTAGAATCATTACAAATAATCAAGTTATATATTAAAATAAGTACTTTTATTAAAAGTCTATTTTCTAGAAACAGAAAATATTGAGAAGAGAAGCATTATTTTACATTTTTTCAAATCTGTTATAATATCTGGCTGAACAGAAGAAAGTTGGATTGCCTATTTGTTTCTGCATTCAATTTTTGAAATATGCTGTTTTTTAGTTGAAGTAAAGAAAATCCAGACTCACACAGATAGGCAGTTGGAAAGGGGAGGAGTATTTTAATAGTCTTTTTATATAGTTGTGGATATTTTTCTTTGATACTACACCACCATCTGAAAAATGATAAAGTTTTTCAAAAGTTATTTTCAATGAGCATTCCGAAAACATGTCAGTGAACTTTTTGTACTGCTACATTAAAATCCATTGGTCTATCTTGCACACTGAATGGATCTTTCTCCTATGTATAATTTTGTAAACATTATTAATTGGTCATTTGGAAAATACTGGTTCACTGTGTTATGTAGATCTTCCAAATTTTGACATATTTCATTATACAGTATAAAAATCACATTAGTTAATATCACCAATTTTGCCAGAGAAGCCTTTAAATATTGAGAAGCTGTCAAGCTCACAGTACTAGATACAAGTTCTCTAAAAATCTAATTTTCACTTGATGCATTGCCAATTTTATCATTGGCAACGAATACCATTAGTTATTAGCCTTGAAGAGACAGGTTCATTTTATTCATTTTTGAGAAATATAGTTTGTCAGTCATTCTTTCAAATAAAAATGGTGATTCATGAAAGAGAAAAATAAACTAGTTCAGCACACCACTCAATCACCCAAGTGTTTTTCCACAACCACTGTATTTCAGTATGTAACAGAAGTGCCGTATGAACACTTACTATTTTGGCACAAAAATCATTAAAAAGAGGTATACTTAAGAATCAAGATTTAATAAAATTAATAATTTTTACATCAAGAAATTTTCAATGAAAACTGGCATTTGTTTTTTATTATAAATTTATGACAGTGAAGATGACAACTGCTAGTATAACTTGGTGCCACAAACTTGATTCAGACTAAGGTGCCAGCATCTTCACCCATCATTGCTTTTCCAACTTCAATGCAAACATCAACACATGACCTGCCAACCTCAGGGTTTCTGAGGGATTCCCAGACCACACCCTCAGGAGTCTGCTGGTCTAGCTAATGTCAGTCCAACCCTCCCACTATCAACAACTAGAAAAGCTAGATAAATTACAAAAATCAACTATTTAAAGGCATTGGGGAAGGATGAGGAACCAAGATTTCAGCCACAGTTCTTAAATATTTGTTGAATAAGAGTCCCTAGTCATTTGGGGGTAGCCTAAAGCTGCTTAAAGTTGCAAATTAAGAAATACCTCTTTTTAAAAAAAAAAAAAAAGAAAAAGAAAAAGAAAAAAAAGAGGTAACCAATGTCATCACTTGTATGCACTTGCTCATTAATGGCAATTAATCCCTTTAATGGACTAAAAATGACTGGACGTTGCTATGGTTAGGATATGGTTTGTTTGGCCTTAGCAAGTCTCTTGTTGAAATTTGATCCCCAATGTTGGAGGGTAGGGACTGGAGGGAGGTGCTTGGTTTGAGAGTAGATCCCTCAGGAATGGCTTGGTGCCATTCTCTCCTGAGTGAGTGAGTTTTCACTGAGTTCTCACTCTTAGTTCCCAAGAGAACTGACTGTTGAAAAGAGCCTGGCACCTCTTTCCCTCTCTCTCAGTTCCTCTCTCGTCATGCAGTTACTGCACATGTGACTACCCTTTGGCTTCCCCAGAAGCACATGCTGGCTCCATGCTTCTTGCACAGCCTGAAGAACCACG